TATGATCGGGGGAAGGGGTTATATTGAAAAGACCTCACTGCTGAAGATGCAAATCGAAGCAAGCATTGCCATTATCTATTACATACAGTTATATAATTATGAACAATTTAACAGGTCACTCTGAAATGAGTCAATGATGAATTGAAGGGACGCACCATTGATACTGATAATCTGACATATTTGTGGAACATCCCCATTTTTCAAAAGTCAATCATCAGTAGGCGGGCCATCTATACCATGATAAACTATTAAGTTGGCAGAGTGTAACTACTCTATAGTTGATTCGCTCCCATGATATTCATTGATATTCCCTTTTAGTATAGCATTAAAGCATCATTTTTCATGGCTGAACCATGTTAAACCACCATTTTTCATGGTTAAACCACCATTTTTCATGGTTAGACCACCATTTTGCATGGTTAAACCATGGTTAAACCATGGTTAAACCATAGTTAAACCATGTTGAACCACCATTTTCCCCAATGTTCATTCTATCCCGACGGTGGACAGCCACCCAGCTTTGGATCCAGGATTCCTTGGGCGTTGGTCCAGCGTCCGAGATTTTGAGGGCCCAGGAGCGTCCAGCGGTTTCGGAGGTACACCATGCTATAAATAGGTAAACTATCTATAAATGGGCCATTTTCCATGGCTATGTTCAATAACCAGAGGGTATATATATATATATTATATATATAGTAAATATATACTATATATATATATGTGTGTGTGTATGCTGTACGTATATATATATATAAATTATGAATATGCTTTGATGGCTGGTTTTGATGGCATTTCTATAGCAAGAATATGATAATATGTTTATTTATATTTGATATCTATTGGTTTCTATGCTGATCAAATATCAATGAATATCATATTAGTTTAGATTATCACATGTTAAATGATCGGCAGGGGCATAACGAGCTAGCAGGGTTGTAATGTAGTTAACCCAAAACCACCGACCATCCCTACTGTCTTAATAAGACTAACTTCAATACAATACAAAGATAAAACACTTGGTGCATCTACTTTATCAAGTAATATAAAAGTACAAAGTTGGTAATATATGGTAATATAAAAGTAGAACTTCAATAATACTATGTCATACACGAACTTCTACTTTTATATTACCATATATTACCAAGGAGGACTCCGCCGCAGGAATTAGTGGAGCTGATCCGCCGCGCAGTGGATGAGTCGGGAGATGTGCCGAGATGGGAGCAGTGGCCATGGGATCCCATGGGATTAGGATTTCACCAGGAAAAAATAGGGACTTCATGCTGATTGAGCCATCAAACCGGGTGACTTTAGCTGCAAAAATGTAGTAATTTGTATAGTGGGAATATCATGGGATCGAGATTATTTGGAGAAATTCTTCGTTCAAGGTCCCTGTTGGTTGATTCTTAATTAAACAGCACAATGGACCGACGTCAGAGTTCTGAACTGCTCACTTTGCATGCGGAAAAACCATCGTATTTTACCTGTGGATGATGTTTTTCTTCAAGTCCTACCTATGATCAGACATGCGGAAGAAATCCAAAAAATACTGGAACAAACGATTCGGTTGACAAACCCTCGGGTTTAAGGCGTTTTGGGGGTTGGTATTGGTTGACGCCCAGCCTTCAGACTATGGTTGCCAGAACGCTTTCCGGACCTGAATTGAATGGTCAAACATGGATTTTCCAGAGTTTTTCCAAAGATCATTACTGTGGATGGTTGCGAAATCTTGCACCACCAAAAGGAAGGTTGAAACATGTTGCAACCCTAATAAAAGTAATGGGATGTTTACTATCTATCCACTGGCGCAGGATTTCTTCCATCTCTTCACAGCTCTCAGGTGCCTTCTCAGAGAGCCATGCAGAAACTCAACTTGGCACATGATGCCATTGCCAGACAGCTGCACCAACAGGAGCAGATGGAGCACCAGAGTCAGGGTCCGCCGCAGTTTTCGTTGTTTTATTGCGTTTATTGTGATATTTTTCCAACAGAGGGCCTAAAAATCCAGCGCCTTGTCATTATTTTCACCACTATTGGAATGTAGCAACATAGCCTCTTCGAGGATGATGAAAAGGGTCAGGTGAGGCCACATTAGCATTTTTTAAAGGTTGGCCTTGAGTTGGTACCTGCCTCATGCCTAGATTTGGATAGTGTTGGGGCATAGAGTGAAGACAGAATTGAGAACTAACATACCAAACTGCATCAGACGCCAATGTTTCAAGCAATCTGGTGTGGCACTACGATCGATCCTCCACATATAAGAATACAAGTTTCCATCCCACAAGATATGGGCATTTAGAACATGTTACTTCGCACAAACAATGGGTATTTGATTAGTTTCCTCCTTACAAAATGGTATTGGATCATGTTCCTTCCTAAAACACCTGGGTATTTACCCGGCAATCAAAGATGGCAATGGAAAATCCAACCATAGAATTGTCCCATCAGAACCACAATTTAGTTCGGGATTTTCCATCTAGCCATAGTTGATCAGTCTATATCCCAATCTATTCATCTATATCCCACTTTGTTCATCTATATTCCCTATTACATCCTAACAACCATTTAACCATTCCCCATTCAACCACCATTTCCCATTCAACCACCATTCAACCACCATTTAACCACCATTTAACCACCATTTCCCATGGTGAAACCGCCCCATTTCCCCCATGGATTTCCCCCATCCGCGCCGTTCCGCTGGCGCGTAGGACTTGGAGCTGATCGACCTGCGACGCAGCCATGAGACGGCGGAGAAGCGACTGAAGCGCATGGAGGAGGCCCGGATCCTGGCCCAAAAGAAAGGGAAGCCGAGAAAAATATATGGATGTGGGTCAAAATGGAAGACCTAGGGGACCACAGATGTTAGTCTAGTTTAGTATTAACCATCCAATTATTGGGGTACCTAATTTTGACCCATACCCATATGTTGTTTTTTTTTTAAATAGTTAGACTGGATTTAGCAGCATAGACCAATAGAAATCAACATAATATCGGCATATAGATTTGTTCAATAATTTTTATATTGCTATAATATGTTTTTGGATCATCATAGATCATCATATAGATATTACTAGAGTATACTAGAGCATCATCTAAATGGAAGACAAGAAATAACAAAATTCTACATATTTACTGCAACCAAAATGTGTTGCTATAATTATGATGATTATTATTATTGCTATTACAACTATAATTGTAATTGTTAAATTATATGTTTATGTTTGTTTTATGTCGTAGATCAGTTGGTGTATATCTAGGAGAACTTTCTGGTGGATCTATTTGCAGCTGGACAGGTCTCCAAACTAACTTGCAACTGCAGGGGGGCCAGCCTTGTGGATAAACTTAGGCTAGGACATCCAATGCTCTTAAGAATCGATACGCTCCAGAAGGGACTCCAAATGAATAAGTTTGACATGCAACAGTTTCTAGGAACGTGTTGAGAATTAGGGGGCAGCGATTAGTTTGATATTGGCTGTCAGTTGGGAGGTATATGATCCAGCTAAGGACTTTACAGTTTTGCGCATGGTGTTTAGGGCTAGCCATGACCATCGCAGGGAAAATGGGTGTTGGTTCTTATTTCCTCATGGGTGATGTTCAAATGAGCCACGAAAAAAACCTCAATGTATTGTTTATGTAAGGGAGTTGTACTACATCACTTTCGCGAAAGAGAAATGCTGGGTCGCGAAAGATCGCGAAAGTAATTTGCTTCGCGAAAGGTCGCGAAAGAGAAGTTTAAAGATATTTCAAATTGGTTGTTTTGTTCAGTGGGAATGGACCAGTGGGAATGGACGGGAAGTTGACACAGGAGGTATAGTGGAAGCCTTGGGTCTCAGCTGTGGGAGTCGGGTGTCGCAGCTCGGGTTGTAAAGTGCGTTGAAGACTGTAGCCAGAGCTCAATTTAGATTAAGAATCTGCACTTGCCACTTTTGGCAGCCGAATTTCGCGAAAGATCCGCGAAAGAACCGCGAAAGATGCAATGTCCCAAGTCCATGTTTCTGGCAGTTTAATTTGACACTCGTGTGTGGTATCGAGCCAAGCAAGCAGCTCCCAAAGTCTAGCTTGCCGCAGCGAAACACCATCTAGCTCTAGGTTTCAGCGGGCTTTGCTGGCTGCAGACCTGAATCCCCAACATTGCTTTCAGAGCCGTATCGAAAAGTAGCTGTGGAGCCAAGCAAGCAGCTCCCAAAGCCTAGCTTTGCCGCAACGAAACACCACCTAGCTGAAGATTTCAGCGGGCCAAGAATCATGTCCACGATTACGCGATTTTCCCTTTCACCGCGAAAGGTCCGCGAAAGAGGTTGTTGTAGCAGTGGTTTCGCGAAAGCCGGCATTGTGGCCGCGAAAGTAAAACGAAAGGATTCGCGAAAGACCTTTGTGAGTACAAAGAGTACCGTTAGGATAGGGTTTTTTTCACAGCTCAAATGGGCTCATCCAGTTTTCTCCTGGAAAATGGGGACCCCCATGGGTTTCACAATCATGGTCCGCAGAGAGAACCTGGGAGCCGCTGCGACGTTGTTATTTTCTCCCTTGACCACCGCAGCTTCTGTTGAAAACGCAGCCATGGCGTCAGAATCTTTAAAACGGCGTCAACCATCAAAGGTCTGATTTAGAGATGTTGACAATTGGTGATGTCCGACAAATTGCAGCAATAGACATATCGTGGCAACATATGGCACAATAGGTTTTCAGATGCGAGACACATGTATCAACATAGTCAAATATTATGGCTGCTCCGAGAGTTTGAGTTTATGAACCCATGTCCATGGGCCACATGTGCTTCCACCTCAAGGCAGATGCCCCAACAACGCTTTTGGGCACAGGTTAGCCACCACGATCCACAAATATCACAGATGGTTTCCAGTTTCAGTTTCAATAATGTTTCACGTTCCCACCCTGAGACGAGCATCCCCAAATGACCACAGTAGTAGAAACATATAGAACATGTAATGAACATGTTGGAAACGCCCAGCAGATCAGCAAAATCCAGCGAACTCAGGGCCATGGCGGCCATGGCGGCCATGACGTATACGTCGTATGCCCTGCAGCCCAGTGTCCTCGCCACCAAGCCTTCGAGCTGCGCTTCCAACGGCCCTAGGCGGCCACTGGCGCCTGTGCACCTCCAGGGCCAGGGCCGCGGTGTAGCTGGCATTCTGCTGAGTTGCTCACTGCCATTGGTCAGAGCAAGGAAGCTGAGTCAATCTGAGTCACTGATTTCAATAGTGGTTTCAACATGTTTTTAACTATATGTCAATGTATTTGAATATATGTCACGGTGCTTGTGTGATTTGGCAACCTACAAAATGGGGAGAGCTACTGCAGTTACAGTATGACAATTGGCGCTTTATCAACAGTGTGTTTAAACTTTTGTATCTGACCATTGCCGTGAATCGGACCATGTATTTGAATCATCCAGAGCGGGTGTTTGAGGATCAAGCCATCATGCATTCCTCGAAAACATCAGAATTCATCACCAAGAGCAAGAAACATCATAGACATTCACAGACCATCAATAGGAGGAATCACCCCAAAAATTCCCAGAATATTGATGTGTGAGATATCCTGCAATTTCGATCCATCCTGCCACGCCACCAGGAGGCGCAGGGTGTCGCGCAAGGCGGAGGGCTTTCCAGCACAGATTGCCCAGCAGATCAGGTCGCGTGATGGGCCTTAATCTGGCAGATGTGGGATGTGTAGGTCATGATATATCCACATGACAATAGACCGCAGGCCCTCAAAATAGTTGCTACAATGTTATATAATAGTATTTAATAGTTAACAATTATCTTTATTAACCACTGTTGGCCATGACTATTAATAATATGATATAATGGAGTATAATATAATATAATATAATATACAGTATAATATTACTACGTAATATTTAATCATTGTTAAAATTGCTTAACTATTTATTTGAGGTCACACCACATGTTGGGACGTGCACAGCTGGTGGCAGGCAGGCCTTCTTCAAGACGGAGAAGAAGCTGAAGGTTTCCAGTCAGACGGTTGCCTGAAGGTTAGTATAGGGAATCATCCCCAATATCAGCTTTATTTCAGGTTAGTGAGATATTACAATTTACCCAGATTTGATGTGCTGATATGCTGTAAGTCACTGATTTGAATAATTTTGTCCATGGGAACCCAAATCAGTTTGGATTTGGACTTGACCCACAATAAGTACGAAAGCTTCTGCCATGTTCTGCCCATTTATGATGAGGGGCAATTTGACCGAGCGCACTTTTTGTGCAGATTCGGATTCGGTCTTAATTAAATATGAAAGTATGCTGGATACGCCCTGGCAAAAAAAATGTATCCAGCATGGTTCTATGTTTTGTAGTGTGGTGGAGTGCGATGTGCCTGGCTTTTAGATTTGTTGCCCCTGATGCGTGCGAGAATTACTGGTATTGTACTTTTGCAGTATGATACTCGTACCTAGCGAGCTGGCACTTATTCAGTCAGGCAAGTAGCAGGCAGACAAACTTGGGCGTAACTCGTTCTGGAGAAACATTGAAATTATTAAAATTATATGCAGCTGCTGTTGGTTGATGTTGATTGTTTGCGATGGTGATTGGTTGGTGGTTCAAACATCTTTTTCCAAGCCTATTTGGGGGATGACCGCGAATGACCAAGAATTTTCAGATGGGTTGAAACCACCAAACAGATCATCATTGGTCATATCATATACCCACTATATTCCCATGATATCCCCAAATGTATCGCCAGTTTATATAGATGGTTAGATCCTCCTGTAATGGATCCCCAAAATTAAGGTCTTCATTTGATGCCCCAGGTGCTGCCAGATTTGCTGCACACATTGCAGGATGTCTATCAGGCCTATCTTAACAACGGAGTGGTGGGAGCCATGGCGGCGCAACAACCCAATTCCCTATGGAAATATGATGAAATATGGGGAGCCCAAAGAATGCCCAGGGGCTACTTTTTTTCGCTTCTTAATGACATGATAGTATACAAATGTATACAACCCATGGGCTGCTTGCGGTTTCTCTGAGTTTTTGTCCTACTATGACTATATGAGGATGTGAGAGGTATCTGACACCGATGGTATGCATCCAAGCTACTACTCTTACGTTGTCAGGGGGCAGACTTGAGGCAAATGTGGATAGCTTCATATACAGGGTGGGCATCCATGTTTGATTACTGGAGGATGCTTTCTGCACCAGCTGCCGCTGCAACCAGAAGCATTGACAAAATCCTCTTTGCTTAAATCCCAAGTGTTGCTCGATTTTAAGTGACATTTTAGTGACATTTCCCCATTGCTTCCTCCGCGGTGGTCAAAATTCACCTCGTTTTGATCGAATCCCGGGGGACCGCTCCATGGCAGACCAAGCTCCAACCCTTGGAAGAGCACCTGCAGTTTCAGCGATTTTACGATACCGCCGAGTCGCTTAACGTGACGGGCAATGGGCAATGGGAGAGGTTGATCAGAATCAAGGACCTTCCCATTTTTTGCCTATGAACCCCCATATGAAATTGACAAGTAGATCCGTCCTTCCTCCTTAAAAGTGATGATAACATTCCGTAGATATATAATGACATGTGTATATATATAATGTACTTAATATACATATACAGGTATATACATATATATATATAGAGATGTGTGCGTATATATATATATATGTTTATACATACATATATATATACATACATACATACATACATACATACATACATACATACATACATACATACATACATACATACATACATACATACATACATACATACATACATACATGTGTATATATATATATATATGCATAGCAATATGTAACTATAATAATAATATGTTGCCATTTGATGAGATGACATGACCATATTTTTGCAGGAATAATAGGCCATGTGTAGTTCCATGTGTAGTTCCATGTGTGACCATATAAACATGCATGCTTGTACAACTAATTTACTAGGAAAATCTAGGAAAACGATTCACAAAGACTTGTTGCGAGACATTTCTGGAATCCAATGGGGGACCACCCACGGGTCCTTCTTAACGGCCAATGGCATCCAAAAGATACCAGCGTAGTGGCTGATACCGTTAGTGATTTCAACCATATTATGGGAATGATTGAATAGATCGATAGATTGATTGATAGATTGATAGATAGATACTGCCATTGCAATTTTTTTTAAAGGGACATTGCACATGTAAACCACAATTAACATGTAAACCCATGTTCAAATGTTTGATATCGCATTCTCAGATGGTTTATCATCATTTCAACTATGGTTAGGATTTGGCGGTACCCCATTTTCAGACAAATGACTTGCCATGTTCATTTCCGTTCCCCCAATTGGATGCTGATCCCAATCAACCACAGATTTTGGTAACTTCTTGGAATATTTCGTGTTGTTTAATGTAGCATTTTAGTACCAGATTATTACTGAGGGGAACCCCTGAGTAATCAGCCTGAGGCTGTCTGCCGCATACTTCACTGCAAAACCCATGGTGCTGGTGCTGGGACAGTATTCCACAGGGACACCTGGCGACTGGTTGGGATTGGCAAAGACAACAATTCGATAGCTAAACGCATCATGTTTATTCATTTTCGGAATTTATCGTAGATTGCGACTGTCCAGCATCCACATATTAAAATGCATGTATGAATTTATCATCTTTGATATGTGTATCAAATGTTTGCCATGCAACCTCGCATGCCCGTTGCAGTAGAGCATAATTATATTGCGTGTGTGTGCCAACAATCATTTATAATTGGTGGTTCGATATATTTAAATTATATATTGGGAGGATATGAACAATTAAATATATGATATACCTAGAGAATCCTGAGGCAAAAAAAAAAAGCCTCCAGGCAAGGAGTCGGAAATTTCCGCTTCAAACCAAAATTTATGACTCTGAAAACTAAGAAATGCCACCAGTTGGGGAAAAATGCCTCCAGGCCATGTTGGAAGATGTGGATGGCCCACAAAAATGACAAGTTGCACCGCATTTTTGGCCCAGGACATCGATTATTCAAAGCCAAGTGCAATCACATAACATGAAAGCATAGTTGAATCCTTCTAGTTCAGCTGTTATTCTTTTTGGGATCATGCGTTGTGAGCTCCTGCTTCTCTAAAGACCTGATCTTCCACCAGTCTTAGACTCAACCAAGATGTAAATAACAAAGCACCATTCGAAGCGCCTTTTCTTTTTCAAAGCGCGGCTGTCCAGCCAACTGACTTTCACATGTTCTTATCATAAAGAAATCCCGGTCCATGCTTCTTGCGATGACGGACAAACAAAGCTCTGGATTTCAGGAAAAAGCGCTGTATGACGCGAAATCCGATCGTGCGAGTTGAAACTCGCCTCGCTAGCACACATATTCTCCCAACACAATCTTCGTTTGATTCACATGAGTTCATGTTTGGACTTAGCACAAGCGGTGAGCCGCGCTCAATTTGAATTTTCAAATCCCAAGCCAAATGCTTGAGACCATGGTATTTGGGTTTCAAAGCAAATGAAATCATTCTGAAGTCATGGAGCCCCATTTGGGCCAGCATGTGGTACCCTCTGCAGATGGTCATCATTTTCACGTAAAGCAACTGGGCACATGGCCTCGGAAGGAAAAGGCCGTGGCTTTCAAGCAGCTCATGCATGCCAATGATGTTCTGCAAAACTTTCCTGGCCACACGCAGGAACCTTTCAAGCCCCTGTGGCTCCGTTTCCAGCATCAAGCCTGTGTAGAAGCAAAGCCATTTGGCTAAGAGCATTGAGTCCGATCCTTTTGAGTTCGTCCACGGACTCGTGGAAAATGTCTTGGCATTCAGATATGCCCGTGTAAATGATCTCAGTCCTGGAGATTTGTGATTGGCAGCGCACCAAAGCCTAAAAGAGCCGTGGGCCCGTGTCAGCCTCTCATTGATGTCTCTTGAATCAGAAGCAGTGTCAAAAAAACCGACCCTGCACATGATCACCAGCAAGCTCCCAACCACATCTCTGATCAAGCCAACTTTGCTGACATGGAATGGATCCAAACTGAACATTGCCTCCTGTCTGCCGAAGCTGTCATAGGGAATGGTCGCCAAGTGAGGCGAGTCATCTGCAGGCCACGGACGGGTGGCAAACATGCTGTTGGTCCAGAGGGGTGTGTCGTCCAGCTCCTCAAACGGCATGCCTTGCTGCCCTGCGTGGCAAAAGGGGCACATCATGAGATCAGCTATCTTTCCAAGGTTCGCATGGTAACGGTCAAAGCGGCAGCAGGTTTCTGCGTGGAACTTCATGTCTCCTTTTACCCCTATCAAAACTCCGTGCCACAGGGATTCGCCCAGCTGTATTCCAGTCTCATACAGATGGCACATGTCTTCCGACAGAAGCTGCAAGTGCTTCTGCAGAATTGCTTCGTGTTCCTTGTAGAGGTACGATGGGAGGCCAAAAATCAAATGTTTGGTCAAGTAGGAGTGCCCCTTCAGATTCGTAGACAACCCCTCTGCAACTGCAACTTCTGGTCCAAAACTATCGGCCACACAGTGCGGGATCGCAGATGTGGGAACTTTTTGAAGTTCTGCGTTGCAGCTGCAGCCACCTTTGTGCGGAAAAATTCCGAAGGCCGTCTCGCAAGACATCTCCAAAAACAATGCCCTTTTTGGCCCTCGTCCTTCGTCCCCGTACAAGTTGAGTGGGAGACAACGTGCCAAATTCTTTCCAGACTTGTATATGCAGTGATCAGGGTTCTTGTACTTGAACATAGACCAGAATGCCCAGCACTGGGATTCCAAGCCCACTGTGGGACTTCCAAGGACCCCGGGGAATGTACTTAGCAAATATTTCATCCAATCAGAAACTTTCACCCAATGTGTGCAAAGAAAGTTCTTATCAATTTCATGTTTGATTGCCTGAATTGGCACTGGCACAGTCAAGCCTTTCTTCCGAAATTTCCGCTGGCAATCCCTTTCAGCGTTAATAGCTTTGCGCTCCCCACCGCTAATGACACGCTTCACGTGCGTAGCAGTGACCTTGGGCTTGCGATTTCAAAGCAGTGGCAGAACTGGGTTGAAAGTTCTTTTTTGAGAATGTGCAACCCTGTTGTTCAAATCTGTAGCTATACATCTCAACGTGTCCAAAACAAATTGGTGGTTTGAACCTAGGGGTAGTTCCGCAAAATAGCCCTGAAACTTAATCTGCTAAAATCAAACATGTGCTCTTGTAAAAAATGATGAAATGCATCTGGGTGGTTTTCTATTTTCCTGGTTGTTTCCTTTTCTTCTACCATGGACACCCCCAAGTCCACACCAAAAAACACAGGGGCACCGCTTCCCATTTGCCAGTATGCTTGCAATATGTTCTTTGATTCTGTGTAAGATATGTTCTTTTCACAGAGGCGTGTGAAACACAAAACCTTCTGAAGTGGTCGTTGCATGGCCGGGGCCCGCGCCCCTTCACCGAGAGCCTCAGCCATGCATTCAAACAGCTGATCGTCACCTGGCATGATGGGTCGGACAGGTCGGTCTAAGGCAGCGGAGCTAGCTATTTTCGAAAGTGAGGCTGGGGGAGATATATCCACGCCAAAAGCTTGTTTGATTCTTTTTGTGTCACGACCAGACAACAATAATGTGACCAGCAGGGTTCAGCACACTGCTTGCACTTTTCAAGCACCCGATGTATTTGATTGCAGATCCGGTCGGTTTGGAACACAATCGCGCACGTGGAGAGTGTGTATTCTCACAAACGCTACGGCCCCAAGAATGTGAGGCACACTCACACGAGCCAAAAGTATCTACTCTTAAGCAACACCAAGCTGGTTAGCCAGCTTATTTTGCCTTGTTTTTTTTGGCCGAACCCTTCATGGTGTCGGCTGCAGCACGTTTCTTTGGAAGAGCCTTTGCTCTTTGTTTGGGTTTTGGCTCAGCACCTCTTCCTCCTGCCGTGGGCGTGTTGGACCTGAAGTGGGAATGGCAAATTCCGACCCAAAACCGTGAATTTCACTTTGGCCCTTTGCATACCCATGTATACTATATATATGTGTGTGTGTGTGCGTGTATCCGTCTATTTGTGCAGGTAGACATGTATTCGTTTATCTACCTACCTACGTATTTAATCAGTTCCCTACTTACCGGCCAATCTATCTTTCCAGCTATCTACTACCTACCCCACTTGATATCTATCTATTATCTTAAATATAATTCTCTGTCTCTATCTATCTATGTATTTAGAGTCCACCTACTTGTGTGTGCTGTGCGTGCGCGCGCGCGGGACGGCCGGCGTGTGCACCAGAGACCTTAGTGATCATGTGTGTGCGATCAAGAATTGCAAATACATATCATAAAAATAATATATATGATATTGTTTACTGTATGTATATTATAACTCATGTATAATGTATATATATATATTTATAGAATTATTATAGATATATATAAGAAACACCCTTTATTTATACAAATTGTTTCGCTGGACCTGCCTACATGTATATAACTCTTTTTAGCCCTGCATCTATCATCTAGCTATTCTAAAATTTGATGCTGTTCTTGTCAGTTTACTTGAGCCAAATTGGCATAGGTTTCCCCCTTGATTCTACAATATCACCACCAAGAAATGACCGCTGTTCACCCAGCGCCGGTCCAACACGAGACTGTACAAATTCTTTCGAATGAGCTAGCAGTTGAAGACAAAGCAGTTGAAGACAAAGAAAAAACTTAGGGCCCAACTTGGCCCTCTTCTCGATCAAGATCGCTTCCACTGCCCTGGGCAAGCGTTTTTTAAAATAAACAGTGTCTTTATTTACAGGGTTCGCTGAGCAGCTTGGGAAAAAAGACCGCTTCTGTGCTGAGGCAAGTACGCCATTTTGCCGTCACTGTAACAGCCCTTCAACTTCTTCAAGATCCTAGGGGTACGTCATTCAACGCCAGCAGGCCAACACTGGGTCTGGGGCCTTTGGACTGCACGTTGAACATAAGTAGTGCCTAAATGTTGTTTTTATGCCGTTCTTAATTTGGGAAAGCGTCTCTTTCGAGAAGCCATTGGAAATCCCATTGCCGTACTCTGTGTTGACAGCATCTTCCGCAGCTTGCAACTTCTTGAGAATTTCGTCCATCTTTGATTTCAACCTCACTGGTTGACAGCTGTTGCAAGAGAGAACTAATGCGTGACGAAAAAGTGGCCCAGAAAACATGTCTGGACAAAGACACCCTCAATCAGCTAGGAAACGTTTTTTGTAGATCCACCAGGACCTGCCCTTCAAACTTGTGTAGCAGACCCTGCAAGATCTTAATCCTCTTCTGAAGACATGTTGCGACTTTCGGGGCTGACGAAGCAATTTTGCTACCCTCCACCTCTGGAAACTTGATGCTTTTCATCACTGCCTCTTGCTCATCTTCCCCCTCGTCCTCGGAGAAGTCATCCTCGGACTCGTCAGGACCTCCAGCGCTCGCTGGCGTCGGTGCTGCAAAGCCTGGGCCATGGTTTCACAATCAGGGACGTGACGATTGGGCGAGGCTCAAAAGCTGTTCTGCTACGTAGTAGATGTTATGCAATCATTTGTGCTTGGACAATATCCCAAAGTCCACTGGACCAAAAACGGAAGAGGTTTTACCATTCTATCCCAAAAAAACTCGACGGGGAACTCTTTGACGCAGCTGGGGCATCTGGAAAGTCCAGACCGGGGCCATCTACTGATGGCAGCTCCTGCTCTTCATCAAGTTCGCTTTCGATCATCTGTTCGAACATGGAACGGCGTGTTCGCCTCAGATAGGATTGCCGGTCATTTATGAAAATTGCAATCTAAGGGAGACAGGGAATTGCAGCGAGAAAAGTATCCCACAAGTAGTCAGAACACCAGACTTATGAGTATGACTGAGTGGCTTCTGATTGCCCTTGATTTTCTTCTCCACCCAGTAGAGCGTTCCTTCTCCGTACTTCGACTTCCTGGAAAAATTAAAGTTGCGTTTGAGGGTTGGTTTGGCCATAGCCTGAAACACTATAAGAGTTTTGATCCTGAACGCGTTTTGATCTGACGTTTGGTGATGGAACTTACCTGCAATAATACTACATACCGGTGAAGAAATTGGCACACAGCACAGCCCCATCCCATCCACGACGGTCCTTTGGTATGCTGGATTTTTGCTGCAAATCTTCTTGATGTTTTTGATTTTCTTCCTTGAAATCCGGCGGTGCAGTTGCAAAGGCACCCTGTTTGTTTCCTATCGAGAGATTCTGAGAGAATGCCCTGCGTGCATAAAAACGAGTCTAGGGTCTAACATCGATGTGCATTGCAGTTTGCTAAATCATCTCAAAAAACATTGGGCTATAACTTTTAGCAAGTTACTAGCTGGTATGCACCACCAAGTATGTATATACTGAATACTAGAACAGCTAAGCTTCTCATCATACCCTTCATCCACCATATCCTTCTCACTCATAAACTCGAAATCCACATTCAAGGATTGCTCATTGATCTCTTGATAGAGCCGCCGAGTCTTGCGAACAAAGGCATCCTATAGGGGCTGATGCTTTGGGGGAAAGGACAGATAGCAAAACAAGGGACTGCCATTGCCCCAAGAGAAGATGTGCGATTGAAAATCCATGAAACACATGTTTAGTGCCCTTGTCGGAACTGTATCCGCACTTCTCAAACAGCGCCATGACCTGGTCTCTTGTGGACAAATCCTTGTACTGTGCAACAATCTCTGGAGGGATCAAAAGGGAACCATCGGCCCGGGGTTTCATGACACGCCTCAGCCTATTCTCCACAGCCTTCCTGGAAAGCTCCTCTGGAGGTGGCTGATTTGGTAGGTTGTCTTCACCCTGATCTGCCACTTCACGGAAAGCACCATCAAGCTCCTCGGCCATGGCAGGGGGGAAGAGTCCGGGAAAAGTAATCGAGCTATGTAGACTTATGTAGAACTGACCTGGGAAGAGGTAAGGTCTGCCAACGTTCCATTCGTAAAAGAAATCATGGGACAGTTTACAGAAGACATTTCCCTGGGTGACCTGTAGAGTGATTGGGTGCAAGGCTTGAATTCAAAGAACTCAATAGTCAGCGGTGAGTCAGCTTCAATTTCAAAAAGCAACAAAAACTGAGAAATATGTAATTGATGTCATGCTGAACTCCAACACATGCAGGTCTCTTTAGGCGTAAGAAAATCGGGACAAGGGCTAGCCGAAGGAGTCGTAGGAGGAATCTGGGACCCTGTCAGCGCTTGGCGTTCTGAACGGGACAGTAGCGGTGGTTTCTGCGAAGAGTCCACCACCACTGTCGGTGGAACGGACTGTTGTGAATCACCATGTCTTTCCGCCTCTCCAAGTCCATTCGGTTGCATCTCCTCTACTTGAGTTGCTGGTACTTCTCTAGGTTGAGCTGATTGAGCTGGTTTCTCAGGTTGCGTCGGTACCTGTTGGGTCTCTTTCTTCTCCTTGCATTGTTTGGCCTCCTCTGCCTCCTTGGCTGCTTTGGCCTCTCTGGCCTCTCTGGCCTCTCGTCTCGTTCGAATTTCATCTCTGCGAGCCTAAGTGCTGTGTAGCACACCGGACTATACTATGTGGATCTTTTGGGCAAGTTACTGAACCGCATATATGTTTGCACAAAACATGAAGCTTGTCATAGTCTGGTCAAAGCAGACTAGTGGCTTTCAGTAGGTCCCGTTGGGCAATCAAAGCTGCATACTGCGGATCTTTCTCGAGGGACATGGTTTGGGATCGCACAAGTTCACAACCCCGAAGCAAAGTGGAGGTTGAAAGGGCTCGGCTACAACAAGACTGCATCCCTTGATCCAAAAAGCCTAGAAGTAGTATACGCTTACCCAAAAGTTCCGGGATTTTAACCAAAATCCCAACAAACTACTAGCTTTTACCATGTAGAATGGTTTATATTTTGCGGTACGGGAAGTTACGCCGCAGACCCGGGAAGTTACGCCGCAGGACCGGGAAGTTACGCCGCAGCCCGTTCCCATTTTTTTACAATTTTTGCTAAGTTTTTTGTTATTTCTCTATTATTTGTGTTTTGCCGGTTACTTATTCTACCAATGCGCCTTGTTGTGGGGAACTTGGATGTGCATCCTCTATTTTAAATTGGAAACCCGAATGCTACATGGAATATCCCAAATATAGACCTAATTTCTCATGAAATTCCCAAACTCAAGTTGTTGATCGCTTAAGCAGTAACTGGGATGAAATGGTGCATATATTCCCATCACCTGTGCCTTTAAAAACATATCTGGAACTGTCGGGTTCCTTGGGTCATTTTCCGTGCAGTAATTGCTGTGACTCAACCCTTCTCCGCCTAGATGGCCAAAGCTTCCCGGTATTCAGGAGGAACAGTAATGTACTTAGAATTTCGCACATACTCCAAGCAAGGCCTCAAATTGGCATCCTCGGCCCATCCCGTTGTGTCATCACCAAGTCCGGAAATGAGGACGTGGAGAGGGGTCTTCACATCCACCTCAAACAGGGCTGCAAGGAAATACTTTTTGAATGGGAAAGAGGGAAGCGAAATAGAGCCTGAGGACAACATTATATACATACCCTTAACTGCATTGCCATTTTTGATTATACAATTTCAACTCCACAGGGTTAACATTTCAAATCCTGCTGAGCCGCTGCTGGCAACTCAGGTAAGCTTCGAAGAAACTGCTTGCGAAGCCGAATGACGCGAGATGCAAATGCTGGTGGGTACTCCCTGGGCTCGGTTGACCACCGCAACCGAATTTTCAAAAATTGATTATGGGATACCTTGTGGTAAGCTAGGTCCATCATATCCCACTCGGAATGAATCATCTGGCAGGGGTTCGGGTGAAACAAAGAATCAGAAGAAAATATTGTATTTGTTGGGTGCCAAAGTACTGGCTTTTCTTCAATGCTGCCGTGGCAGTAAATCGAACTTCCCCTTTGGCGTTAACGTATTTCCGTGTGGTGGAGGGACCCTTCTTCTCTTGCACCGGTAACTTTCCGAAATCCAATTTCCAAATGGAGCGGGCACATGACCATATTTTGGTGAGCTTGTGGTTGGGATGGTAGTAATGCGCCATCCAAAAAGATTGGCGAAAAACCCGGATGCCGGCACGTCTCCGAAGTAAGTCAACCAGCTGTTGCATCCTGTCATGCCTCATGACAATGGATGATCCCGGGTTCTCCAAAAGCCAAACGGATTTGGCAGAAGTGATCAGTAAGAGTATCAAGCTGCACCTAGCAGGAGTCGGTCACGAAAGAGCAGGCCCACAACAATAATGCATTTTCTAACTCAATTGTGCTTTAATTGGCACTTTGGAAGTTTAAACCTCATTGCTGTCTCGCCTGGAAGTCATCAGGTTTGAAAGAAGAACTGATGGTTGTGAAAGATCTCCATTTGGGTTCAGCCAATCACGCTGTGATGTCCCCGCATTGACCATCACCATGCTGCTACAAACCAACCCCACCAACGCCAACAGGGAGCCGTATTTGGATTCGAGCACGGCCTTTATGATCAACCTTGACGTGCACATGGACCAGATTTACAAGTAAGTAGCTGTGAAGTTAATGCAACCAAATAAGCCCAAAGAATATCCCCAACAGCAAGAAAGCAGCGGCCGTAGATCCCAAACAATAATTCCATATAAGCGTGGTAGTTTTTGTTTCATGACCACGCAATGCAGTGCATTTTTGCGCCGTCCTACCGCCGGTTTCCCCTACTACTACTACTGCTGCTACTACTACTGCTACTACTACTGCTACTGCTACTGCTACTACTTCGACTACTACTACTACTACTAATACTACTACTACTACCACTACTACTACTACTACGACTACTACTACTACTACCACTACTACTACTACTACTACTACTACTACTACTACTACTACTACTACTACTACTACTACTACTACTACTACTACCTACTACTACTACTACTACCTACTACCCTACTACCTACTACCTACTACCTACTACCCTACCTACTACCTACTACTACCTACTACCTACTACTTACCTACTACCTACTACCTACTACCTAACCTACCTACTACCTACCTACCTACCTACCTACTACCTACTACCTACTACCTACTACCTACTACCTACTACCTACTACCTACTACCTACTACCTACTACCTACTACCTACTTACTACTTACTACTCACTACGTGCTACTTATTTCCAAAGATTGAACCGCTTGCAAAACACATAGCACCGCAACGCAAAATGCATTAAAAATCGGTTTATTAAAAAAAAAAACCTTCGCTCGAAAAATCGGATTTCCGCAAAAATTAAAAATGGTGGAAGCACTGGTGACAAACGAAGCGGACATTCTTTTTATCCAACACAGCAATTGGGGTCAGTCCTTTCACGCCCCGCCATAGGGCTGGGGGTGTGGCCATTGTTGGTTTGACCAAAGAAGTTGCAAAAGGGTAGGGAAAAAGAAGGGAGGGAATTTGCAACCTCTACGAGGAAACAAAAAGGAGGTTTCCCACCCACCTCACCCTCAAGCCAGAATGTTGCCATGCAACAAGATGAAAAACAGGTTCTTCTTTTCCAGAAAAGGAAAAGAACTTGTTTAAAAATATTTTGCCATAAAATAAATGGCAGGTATTTGCGTTGTTTATAGGTTTGTGTTTTTACAGCTAACTCTTTGCCACGCAAAGAGTTTTCAAAAATTGGAAATAAGGTTTTTATCCCTACGGGAGTCAAAAACTTATTTCCAAAGATTGAACCGCTTGCAAAACACATAGCACCGCAACGCAAAATGCATTAAAAATCGGTTTATTAAAAAAAAAAACCTTCGCTCGAAAAATCGGATTTCCGCAAAAATTAAAAATGGTGGAAGCACTGGTGACAAACGAAGCGGACATTCTTTTTATCCAACACAGCAATTGGGGTCAGTCCTTTCAGGCCCCGCCATAGCCCCATTTCAGCCACGGCGTGCAATGAATCCACTGACCTTTGACCAAGGTATTTCAAGCTTGGTACACCCAGGGGCCATGACCATTGAGAAGTCCAGCTGACTTGGTCCACTGCTCCAACTGCTGTGCTTTGGAAGTCGAGAGAACCAAGTCTTTAACTGTAGTTCAGCTCTTTCTGCAAAAAGAACCGATTAAGGCATTGGACAAATTGGTTGCACCATAGACCTTTGTTAGGTCAGCTTTTGCCGCTTCGTTGTCCACGTAGTAAACCACTTGGTTTCCACGGAACTGTTCTCTCCACAATTCAAGGTAATAAGAATGGGTAACAGTTCACCTTCGTAAATTGGGTGTTTTGGATTCTTGGTAAAAGAACTCCGCCAAACTGAGAGGAAGTTAGCCTCCAAGAGTGAAGGTTGCATTCCTGCAGAATCAACCAACACAGCTCCCACAGAAGCGTGGCTCCCACAAGCCCCATCCGTGAAGCAAATACAAGTTTAAAACAACTTGGTGGAAATTTGAATCAGGGCACATGACCTAACTCTTTCTAAACAGTTGCACCAAAGTGTCTCTCAGTTCATCTGGCAACTGCTGCACACCTCTAATTCCCCTTACAAAATTTTCAAGACACACGACCAGTATGTTGGCTTGGCGTCCACAAACGAAGTTTTTCAATCCAGAAAAGTCTTCCTCTCAAACGTGCAATGTTTTGGCATGGAAACTGTTGTCATTCAGCAGCGTTTCTACGGTCTCCGCTAATTCCACACTCCGTACATCTGTGTGGCCGAAAGCAAAGGACACGCTGCTTGTTGTTCTAAAAGGCATCGCGTTGACCAGCAAGAGGACAAATTGTCTGGTGTAAGGACAGTATGTTGTGACTTTTACTCCTTCACGATCCGATGTACGCACTCCGAACTGCTTGCAGGCGCTTTCCAGCTCCATTGTTTTTCCAAGAAGTGTCAGGTGAACTTCACCC